GTGCGAGTATATATCAGTCAAGCGTTTTAAGGTCAGCAATTCGGAACAGTCGTCTGCAAACTCGGATGACGCTAAGGGCCGCGGACGTTGAACCAGGAAGGGGACGGTCACATATTGAAGATGAGGAGGAATTTATTTTCCGACCGGATCCTAGAGCCATGGAAAAGCCTACTCGGGGCTACAGTTATGTCCCAACATGTAAAGACATTCAAACACATCCAGTTAATGCGTGATAAGTGCGCTTGAAATTGTTTTACCGAACTAAAATATAGGTGAAAAGTTTGTGAAAGAACAAAAAAGATCAAGGAAACGTCTTATTGGTCCGCAAAAGAAGCCTACAGATCATCAAAATATATGAACAAATTCTGTTTGTTACGAAAGGTTGCCTATGGACAAAAACAATATTAGAACAAGTACTTTTACCACTAGACGGCCCTACGAGTTATTCCCACCGATTGCGGATATTCAGGCCAGCCGCAGTCAATAAAGGTTTCCTTAGGACTCTCTACTGTAGTATTGTGGCAGTGGATGTTGAACAATGAGCAGAAAGATAATTGGTGCTGCGAGATGGGAAATCTCACCCTCAGTCTACAGTGTTTCATTGTCGATCACGCACGATGTCAAAAATTAAAGTCCTTGGCGACCATGATTACTATTGATTCATCGATGTTGTGAGTTTGTGCGCCTAATTGTATTTTGAACGGAATATGTTTTTTCTGAAAGTTTTGGAATGATCTTTTCAAAATAAAGCGCCTCTCTCTCTTTCTCTTCATTTCTCTTCCCCCCCTCATGACTTTCCAAGTCAGTTGACGATGATACGGCTAACATTGCTTATCGAAGGAAGAGCATTAAAGAATACGATATAAATAAAAAATAAATTGCTTCTTCTATCGTGTTTTTTTAGAATTTTATCAAGGATTTGCTCCGTCTAATTTTATTCCATAAAAGTGCGTTTGTTTACACTGGTATACGCTGTGTTCAGAGGTTCTTTGGCTGTCACCAACAAATGTTGGTTACAAGTGAGATTCTGTGGAGTAAGCTGGTCGACAGCTGTTTCCCAACTTTCATGCAATTTTAGAGAGGTTGCTGTTCTCTCTTGGATACTAGGCACACAACTAAACATAGGAACAATTTTTTTCCCTTACTACGTCCTGTTTTTAATAACAAATACTTATTAATAACTTTCGCTGATGACATTTCCCAGTGAAAATTTAGCGTTAGGTTCCCATAAAACGCTCCAGCCGAACTTCCGTCCTCATAGCTTTAAGGGCTTTAATTTTACACTGCATTCCATTTCGAGTTTTGTTCTACATAGGAAAGTTCATCATATAAGTGCACTCTGCCTTAAGGTGTACGTCTCGGTGTTGCCATTCCAATCATACAGCAATACCTCCATAATAACGTTTTGCTAGCAAGTTGCTGGTAAGCATGGTTCCAAAGTTTCTGCCGTTGCGGGTCGGTGGAGTCGGAAAGCGATTGCTTTCTCGGTCAATTAGTGTGCCTCTTGCTGATTAACTCTAGATTTTCATTGCTGTTGCTCGGCTATTCTATTAGAGATCCCAGTATCTCTATGTCGGGTCAACTCCTTATACCTAGGCAGCTGTAGAGCTATGTCTGTAAACTAGACGTCAACATTATAATATACAACCACTTTCAAATTTTTGGCAGGCCACTTGCGGCTCTTACGAATGACAGAAGAGACACTACCTACATGATTAACTGACCGTCCGTATTAGGAACGCTTATTACCGCTAATCCCCTCCTGTTGTTCATCTATGGCTAGAGAACATTACTTCGGGTCTGATTTTTTTGCGCGCGCCCGACTTCCCGCGGAACCAATAAGCAGTTTGACAACAGTCCTATAAATAGAAGCATGCGTCTTTCAACCTAAGGCATTTTACGAGGCCCATGAGTGCGCGAGTTGGTCACCATAATTTATAAATCAAGGTAAACAAGGAACAGCCTACTTATTTATTCCGTATACAAGCGTATACAAGCGTATTTGGCTATTCAGTTTTGGAGTATCTAAGTTCTTGGATTACGAGGCTGATAAATACAGAAACGCATAGTAACTCGACCGCAGTTTAGGAGTCTTGTCCCATTCCATGCCACTCCCGTCACTGTTGAGGCCAACAAAAATTTAATTTACTCAGCAAAATCTACGTACAGAATTTTTTATCCTTATTTCTCTTAAACTGTTGTTATGTTATAGTTTATCCACGCCTGTCATTCTGTATTTTTGTAAGCGGTCATTAATATGGATTAAATTTTTTTGGATATTCTATCGCACTCAATTGTCTAACAGAAATCTATAGAGTTAGAAATAATGCTTACCAGAGTAAGGGACGGCAGTAGCTAAAGGCGGTGGAGCGTAAGTGCTGACGTTTATACCATGAGAGGACGATTCGATCGGAGTCATATGAGATAAACCATGAAGTGGAACGTAAGTAAAACTGTGATGGAATGAGAAAAGTTAAAATGCAGAAGAAGTGGTGAAACCCAAACAATTAATCGAAGAGGCTGTGGTCACTAGTCTAGCGACATTGATAGTGGGCTCTTCGTTTGCATGCATTTTTACACGTTATTTCGCAGTGACCAAAAACAAAATGCAGTAAAAATTACCACCAGAACACTTATTAGTCGAATTAATGCTATTTAGTTGTTTATCTTATTACCAACATCTCATTCCACTGCCAATTTCACACATAACTAACTCCTCTTTTAGATCGATTATGCTATCAGGCGCTGACTCGGCAAAGGCGGTTGGTGAATAAAATATAGACGAACATGCTTAGAAAGATGTTTCCCCAGTTGCAAGGTAAGAATTTAAAGGTCCGTTCTACTTAATAGAAGGCACACGCCAGTCACCATCCGGCCCCTCACAAGATGACGATGATTACGTAAGGCTTCCTTTTCGCTTACTTACCTTAACTCTTACATGTTGAAAATGCAAGGGTTATTCAAAATTAAATGTACATTCATGGATTTTTAAACCTTTGATAGCAGGCTGTTATTAGTCGGAGTGCCTAGGCGGCATTTTAGTCCATGCACCGGAGCGTACAACATGTGGAGGCTGTGGCCCGTCACCCACTCTAGTGAGTAAGGGATAGTAGGGCTGAATGCTGTGCGGTTAGATGGTGTCTAGCGTATTCAGGGAAAACGGGGAATGCTGATATCGACGTTCTTACGCTGTGAAAGTAAAGTGAAACAGGATGAGGAAACTTTGATTGGTATTCCCAATAAGTGGATTATGAATAAGCTGTTTTTGGTGAGACTGTTAAATTAAATGCTGTCATCACAATCCAGTGAGTTGTCGGTGGGATCGACCGATGAAATCGCTAATGGGCCTCCATATTGGGCTTTTAATCACTATAGTGATTACTCTAGCCTCTGGCCAAGCTTCAATTTGTTTTTCGGATTTCCAGAACTAACCAGAATTCCCGGCATCTAATAGAAACAAAACTGCTCCACGACCCCTGCACAAGTGTCCTTTAATTCGCGATACGTCATATCTTAAAAAAATCAGTATTTCCAGGCTTCTAATGATTTCCATATGTGTGCGCAGTTAAGTGATAATCAAATGATGAAATCACGTGTAATATAATCGGCTTCAGTTATCCTAGAACTGATAAACAGTATTCCACGGAGTAGGAATGTGCTTTTACGTGAAAAGGAGTACGCAAGTGAGGGAGCACGATAGAGCATTCTGAAAACACGGGTGCTATTTAAAAGCTTAGAGTCTTACGCCAATATCTTGCCATTGCATGACACGGCTGTGCGGAGTTAGGTTTATTATTATGGACAGATACCAACGATACGATGTTGGTCCCACGCAAATCTGAGTCCAGTTTCCAGTGTATGAATGACTGTTTGGGACGAGTAGTCCTTCTTCGTGTTTGTGTATAGGGGAGTTGCTCATTTTCACGTTTGACCAAAGTATACAGCGCTGAAAGTGTCACGTCGAATCTCCTAGATGACTTCTTTCTGATCCGAATGGCCAACCCTAATCTAAGGGTATACAAATTGGCTTCACAATTTTATTTTCGGTTTGTGCGCCGCTCGTATTTTATGATTCCTCAAGAGTCTTTTAACCAGTTCGTTCATAGTAATATTAGGCGTTTTATATATCGCACTCTATGTTCCTTCACCTACTTGATTCCGACGTCACCACGCTAAAAAAAACGTAGGTGGGATCGGCCACATCTTGCGTTTACATCTAGTTGCGTCACCGTATCCTTCATGTATGGCATCCTGATGGCCATAATTTGATAGCTGATATGAAAAAGCCCAAACCATAACGTCTTCTATTTAGTGACTTTTTACGTCAGTCGCCTTCTCTGTCTCTATTCTTTGGGCATTTGAAATGCTCTAAGATCTTAGTGGCGTTTACCACTATCCACCGTCAACAACCTCTACCCGCGCTCCGCATTCCATCCTCATTACCAGACTAGTCAAACTTGCAGCTATCGCCTGCCAGTCGCGAAGTAGACGTCACAAAAGTCCACACCCCTTTTATTTGATAACTTGCCTATTACCTTCAGCCTTAGGCGCTGTCCTTACAGCATTTTCATTGTCTTCACCTTCTTCACCGCGTTGATTTAAATCAAAACCTCTTTGATTATATAAATGCCTACTTACTGGGCAGAATGATTTGCAGGCACGATTTCATAATGCATTATATTGACATACTACTGCTATTACTCCTAATAATAATACTTTTACTACTATAATAGCAACAACTGCTATTACTAATACCACCACTAATACTGCTACTAGCACTGCCAAACGTTTTAAGAGTTTACGAAAGAATGCCTTTTTACCACCAGTTACGTTTTTCTGTTGTTTAGGATTCGTCCATAGAGCCTGGTGTAGAGGCCGAAAATGTCTCATTCGCCTCTTCACAAAATCCTGGCCCTTCTTCATTATCACCTCCGCCAGCCAGTGGACAAGCCTCTCAGCCGGTATTAAGTTCTGACCGTTTTGTACAAAAGAATTATTGGATGCCTGACGGTCACTGCAAGAATTGCTTTGAGTGTAATGCGAAATTCGGAATTTTCCGCCGACGTCATCACTGCCGTTTTTGTGGACGTATCTTCTGCTTCCAGTGTAGTAATCATGTGGGTTGCCTGTCACAAACCAATCGCTTTTGCCTTTCCAATTTAAAATGTTTTTGCAGATACAGATCTTCTGGCCCTTAATTTTGCTTTTTTAGCAAAGTACCACCACCACCACCACCACCACCACCACCACCACCACCACCACCACCAC